AAAGACCCAATAATTCAAAAGTATCATTTATCAACATCTTATGCCTCGTTCACACGTACATTTAATTCGAATTGAATTCGAATCGAATGCGAATCGAATTCGCTAATCGCGTTCACACACTCTTCTTTTTTAATTCGAATTGATTCGAATTGGCTAAATCGCATTATCCAATTCGCATTAGAAATGCGTTTTGTTAATACGAATTAAAAGTTAACGTCGTTAGGACAGTAAAGCGAATTTGACGCGAATTGCAATTCGAATTAGAATTTACGTTTGGACGTTAAACGTTTCGAATGCGAATTAAACTAATTCGAATTAGTTAATGCGAATCGAATTCGAATTACGTGTGAACGCAGCATAAAAAAGCCCAATCATCCTATTAAATATTTAACAGTTCAACCTTTAGAAGTAGTAAATAAGCAGCCTGGTGAATCTCATTCAAAGTTTTACGATCACGGAAAATAATTGAATTAAATTGGATTAAAAAATTACAGACAGTCTACCCTCTCGGTCTTAATGATAATATCATGGGAATTGGTAATATATCAAGAACCGATTCTGTTAACATTTTGGATATAGTTTCTAAAACTGTTCGTAAAAACCGTTCTCATGGGCGTAGAAAAATCGCAATCAAAGAAAATTTCGGACCAACCATACAAATATTTCGCCTAATTTCTATTTCAAAAAACAACGGCAGACATTATCTATTAACCAAGCTCTGTTCTTTACCTATAAATAAATTAAATAAAATTTTAGAGGATTGCAACACAATTTCATATTGCAGTCCTAAGTATGAAATCGTTCAAATTATAATGGCATTTTGTTATTCTAAACTGTTTCCAAAAATTGATCGCCCTGAAGATCATAAAAAACATTTTATTAAAATAAAGTATGTCAATAAAGGTTTAGATTTTGTAAATATTGCCGGTATTTTTAACGACCTTTCTGTTAAAGAACAAATTCCTGGATATTTTGATAATACTGAACTCCCTCTTATTTGTTATATTTACAAGAAATCTACCCGAAAATTTGTGTTTAATTATAGCCAAGTCTGTAAAGATGTAAATATCAGTGAAAATACACCTCCGTCATGTAATTGTAGTAGTTCCAAATACACTTATGGCCCCATTTCCCATGTTATAACAGGAGACCTTAACATAGTTCGCGACCGAGAGTTAAAATCATTCCTCAGTAAAGGACCTAAATATCGTCCCCCGTCAATTATTAATTGGAATGAGTGTCGTAATATCACCCACGACTCACTTTGTGCTTACTGTTTGAAATGGATAAAACGGGAAAAAGCTGACAAAAAATCTTTGGACTCTTTTTTTAATTCAGTAATGAAGATAGTTGATATACGTATACAACATTTTAAAGAACATTTTACTCTTAACAACAACCATAAAAATCCTATTTCTTGTATCAAACATAAACTAAAAGAACTAGCCAAGGAATCAAGTTGTTTTTGTCCCGGCTGATAAAGCTGCTAATAATATCATTATAGTTTGACGTAAATTTTAGATTGAGGTTCTGCAAAAGGAAATCACGAATTCACAAACATTCCAACTGACTTCACTTTCAGAAAACGATATCTGTAACAAACATAAACTATTAGCTACTTCTTTACAAGCAGAACCAAATACAATGAAAGTCCCAACTATGTACTGGCTTCCGAAGCTACACAAATCACCTTACAAATATAGATTTATTTCGTCTTCAAGTCATTGTTCCACTACTAAATTGTCTATTCTACTTACTAGTACACTTGGTACAATCAAAAATTTGATAATAAATTGTTCAAATAAGGCCTTTGAAAATAGTGGAAGTAACTACTTTTGGAGTGTCAAAAACTCGTTGGAAGTACTTGATAAATTGCATGCATATATTGGTGATTTTGAATCTGTTCAAAGTTTAGATTTTTCCACCCTATATACCACTTTGCCTCATATTCTTATTAAGAAAAAATTCACACACCTAACTAAATGGACATTTAAAAAGTCGGAATGCGAATACATATGTTCAAACTCTTTTAGGTCATTTTTTAGTAGCAACAAACAAAAGAGCTATGTCAATTGGACATGCTTTGATACTATATCTGCCCTTGAATTTTTACTTGATAACATTTTTGTTCGCTTTGGGGATTCCGTATATCGTCAAGTTATCGGAATTCCAATGGGAACTAACTGTGCACCACTTATTGCGGACCTGTTTTTGTATTGTTATGAGTTACAATTTATGACTAAAATCAGCAAAGACCCATCGAAACAACATCTGATACAAAACTTTAACAATACTTTTAGATATTTGGATGATATATTGGCTCTCAATAATGACGACTTCAGTATGTATACTAAAGAAATTTATACTGTTGAACTTACTTTAAATAAAGCTAATACTAACAATGACCACTGTCCTTTCCGTGATCTTGATATCTATTCAAGAGAAATTTATGTATTACTGAAAAATTATTACACCAGGGTTTTCGATATCATAAACTAGTCAAAACATTTACTAAATTTTATCATCGGTATAAGGACATCATTCGTAAATATAACTCAACATGCAGACATCTTATACGTTCGGGTATTTCACATCCAATTCTTTACAAAGCACAAAAATGTCAGTATTCACCTCAAAAGCTAACAAAACCTTTAAACAGACTTATTAAGAAGGTATATAGTTACGATACTGTTGTCAGGTCATTAAAGATTGCATAATTTGGCTTTAATATTGATTCACTTATAGGGTCTTTGCATCGGAATTAAACATATTTATTCTAAAACCAGTTGTTGGCATGACACGGGTTACGTTCTTCTCATATATTTTATGATGGTATAATACTAAACCCCTAACAGGAGGGATTGTGCCTGATATTCATATGATGAAGACATAATCTTTCAATCAGTTTAATTGAGGTCTGGAGCTGGCATGTCAGTAACTGCTAGTAGTCTGTTGTTATTTATGTATTATTGTCATTTTGCTTATTTTCTTTTGTTTCCTATTCTGACATCGGACTTGGACTTCTCTTAAACTGAGTTTTACTGTGCGTACTGTTGTACGTTTGTTTTTTTCTACATTGGCTAGAGGTATAGGGGGAGGGTTGAGATCTCAAAAAAACATGTTTAACCCCGCCGCATTTTTGCGCCTGTCCCAAGTCAGGAGCCTCTGGCCTTTGTTAGTCTTTTTTGTATAATTTTTAATTTTAATTTCTTGTGTATAATTTGGAGTTTAGTATGACGTCCATTATCACTGAACTAGTATACATATTTGTTTAGGGGCCAGCTGAAGGACGCCTCCGGGTGCGGGAGTTTCTCGCTGCATTGCAGACCCATTGGTGGCCTTCGGCTGTTGTCTGCTCTATGGTCGGGTTATTGTCTCTTTGACACATTCCCCATTTCCATTCTCAATTTTACCTTTCTCTAAATCACTAGACTACAATATAGATCTCCACCCGAACATCGACACAGTGATCAACAGTGTATTTGTACAAAAGAATAAATATATTCCTAATTATATGTATGGGTATAAATAGAATCTGACTACTTTATGTATTTTTAACACGCTTGTTTGACTGAAGTAGAGCGAAGCAATGTTTATACACCTAACTTTTAGTTTTTCCATTATTGTATGTTTTGCAGGTAAGTTTTAAGTTTTTACATAAAATGAATGAGCTTAAGGAATTATGATAAACTATATACGTTGTTAATCATAAATACATACATTGGCAATCTTACCATATCTCCTTTTTTTATATACTGCTTCCCCTCTCAAGGTAGTACAATGGAAACATTATTCGTTAATTTGTTTTATTATTTCCAAATACATGTACACACATATATATGAATCATGTACTGATCTGATTGTTGCATGTCAGTTTTTCTTTGTGGTAAAAGAAGATCAGTTGAATTCACTTATCTTATGTAACGTTTGAGTTAAACCGATTTAAAATTGTAGACCTGAATGACCTTCCTTCTTCTGGATTTTTATCCTTTTCATCGTTTTTGTTTAGCATGGAGTCAACATTAATGTATCTTTTAATTGTAAATGTTTGCTCCGAATGTGTCTATATTTGTCTTTGGACTACATACTAGTTATATATATACAAAGTATTTTCAACAAAAAAATATTTTTCTTATTTCCTTTATGAATGTAAAGAACCTAGTGACTGAAATATGTGACCTCTTATACTATCAATGTTATCAACTGAACTCCAAAGATAAGAGAACACCATGCAGGCATTTTGGAGAAAAATGACAATGTGACATGCCGTGTGTTTAAATTTGTAAATTAACTCTTTACTTCCTGTTAGTAGTACATGTTATTAACATACCTAAAGACTGAACTACTTGAAGCGGTAATTTTCTGTAAATTACCGTTCATATTTTTTTTAATCATTTTTTCTAACTATACTAATGTATTTCTCTATGATTAGACATAATTACCTTAGCCAGATTTGAGTTGTTTTGGGAATTTTATATTTACAATGCTATTCAACTTTGTAATAGATTTTGACTTCTAACCGTTTGATTCGAGCGCCACTAAATCATTTGCCGGTAGAACAAACGTACAACTGGCGTAATAAATTTACCATATGAGTTTTGTTGTATACCGTCAACAAGTTCCATACAATTCCTAACATATCATACACTATAAAATTATGTGTGGAATCTATTTGTTTTCTTCTTGTAAAATTAACACAAGCTAGCATCAGATCTTCCAATGCATACCACAACAATACAGGCAAAACCGTATTGGTCTAGTATGTAATGACATAAGGAAGTACAACAGACATTATTAAAGAGTGAAAAGGGTTTTTTAAGTACAAGAAAAAAAGCATAATTTGATTTCCTCTCTTGACGAATAAAACTTATAAATACCAAATCCTTATTTGTACAATATAAAGAAGTAGATAGTAAATGTATTTTACATATGAGAAGATTTCATTGCGTATAATGATAATATGTGGTCAGTGTGACTAAAACTATTTATGACACCCGGAACTTGACTTAGTTGCGGATGTTAAACAGGAAATTTGATACAGCAAAACATTTATATAATACAAAATGGAGCTAACTAGGACTGTGTTTAAAATTGAATGGATTTTATTGTTAATATTTGTTTTAAATTGTAAGTATTTTTGTGCTGTGAGGTCAAAGTTTACTCTGAAGTTACAAGCAAATTAAAACACAATTGGGTATCGTATTACATGAGTGAAGCCAATTAAATAATATGTATCCTTCCTTAGAATTTGAACATTCGATCAATTTAGGAGTGTAAATAAAATGATTTATAATATAAGTGTATTTCAAGGGTCTTGATAACCATATTGCAATTTTAAAGCTTTATTCTGTAGTCATAAATATGTGGAATAATTGAAAAAGACATGTTTTTTTAAAGTTCAAAAGCTATATTTAAAGACAAAATTAGTATACAGAAAAAATAAGCTCTATTGATCGTTTATATTGTCTTATTCAGAAAAAACTATTAAAACGTGCACGTTTTAAACAAAGCTATCATAGATATAAGAAGATGTGGTATGAGTGCCAATGAGACAACTCTCCATCCAAGTCAAAATTTATAAAAGTAAACCATTATAGGTCAAAGTACGGTCTTCAACACGGAGCCTTGGCTCACACCGAACACTAAGCTATAAAGGGCCCCAAAAATTACTAGTGTAAAACCATTCAAACGGGAAAACCAACGGTCTAATCTATATAAAAAACGAGAAACGAGCAACACTTATGAACCACATCAACAAACGACAACTACTGAACATCAGATTCCTGACTTAGGACATGTGCAAACAAATGTAGCGGGTTTAAACGTTTTAATCGTTCCAAACATTCACCCTTATTCTGAAACAATAGTGTAACATCACAACATAGAAAGACACACTATAAAATAACAACTGAAATAGCTTAACTCAATCAAAGGACAGATTAACACCAGTGAACATACACTGAACAATTAAATTTGACCTATGATACAATGTAAATACAAAATAAATAAACTAAGGGAAGAATAATAAAGTAACATGTTATATCGGTATGAAATGTTAAACAATTTAAGAAAAACAATATGCTCGAACAAAAATATCAGCCATTTACAATAAGTTTAAACACAGGTAAATGAAAATAATTTTGTTGTTAGGTATACGTGTACAGTTACAATACAGAAAGGAAATATTTTTACAAAATAAATAATTTTGATGTTCATAGTACGAAGTACTATCATATCTATCACTAAATAACTACACTATCAAAACATGTCAAAGCAAATCTTGACTTGAAGCATACACATGATACATATACTACATACAGATGACACGAAAAATGCAGTTATGTTCTATGCACTATGCAGAAACATCAAAAGAACAGTAAGCAATAATTTTTAAAGGCATATCATGTAAAGTAGTTCAAAACTTATTAGCAGTTATAGCACATTAAGCAGAAAAATGCACTACCTGACATTCAGTAAGCATTAATTTTTGGCAGGCATTGTATTGGCAAGAAGTCTAGATGTTCCTAGATGACATTTTTATACGACCGCATAAATTAAAAATTTTTTGGTCGTTTATTGGTATGACGTTGGCGTCGTCGTCGTCGTCGTCGTCGTCGTCGTCCGGCGTCGTCCGGCGTCGTCCGAAGACACATTGGTTTTCGCACTCTAACTTTAGTTTAAGTTCATGGATCTCCATGAAATTTTACCATAAGGTTCAATACCACGAAAGGAAGATTGGGATTGATTTTGGGGGTTATGGTACCAACAGTTAAGGAATTAGGGGCCAAAAAAGGGGCCAAAAATTAGCATTTTTGTAACTTCCAGACAATAACTTGTGTGTAAGTGTATGGATCTCTCTGACATTGTACCACAAGGTTCCATATCACATAGGGAAGGCTGTAATTGATTTTGGGGGTAATTGCCTCAAAATTTTAGAAAATTAGGGGCCAAAAAGGGGCAAAAAACAAGCATTTTTCTAGTTTCATGACAATTACTTGTGTGTAAGTGTTTGGATATTTCTTAAATTGTACTACAAGGTTCCGTATCACAAAGGGAAAGCTGGAATTGAGTTTGGTGGTAATTGCCCGAAACGTTTAGGAATTGGGGGCCAAAAAGGGGCCAAAAATAAGCATTTTTCTAGTTTCCAGACAATAACTTGTGTTCAATTGTATGGATCTCTCTGAAATTGTACTGCAAGATACCATACCACAAAGGGAAGGCTGGGATTGAGTTTGGGGGTGATGAATCATAAGGGGGTTCAAAAAATTTGGGGGGGGGTTTCTTTTTTTTTCTTTTTTTCCTTTTTTTTTTCTTTTAAAATTTTCCATTTTAAGTTGGTTATTTCTGATTTATATTTAAAAGCAAATAATAATGATATGGTAGGAAATACACACCAAACAGGATGTGTAAATTATTATACAATAAGTATTGTGCAATAGCAAGAAATTTTCAATTGCACAGTATTGCACAATAGCAAGAAATCTTCAATTGCACAGTATTGCGCAATAGCAAGAAATCTTCAATTGCACAGTATTGCGCAATAGCAAGAAATATCCAATAGCACAATATTGCGCAATAGCAAGAAATTGTCAATTGTACAGTATTGCGCAATAGCAAGAAATATTCAATTGCACAGTATTGTGCAAAAGAATATACTTTGTATAAATTGCTTATTTCTTGATCAATTTCAATGGGGTTTTATTCTTGAATTCTTGGGGTTCTTTAATATGCTGAATCTAACCATGTATTAAGTTTTTGGATTTTGGGCCCTGTTTTTAAATTGGTCCACATTGAGGTCCAAAGGGTCCAAAATTTAACTTTGTTTGATTTCATCAAAAATTGAATTATTGGGGTTCTGTGATATGCCGAATCTAACCGTGTATTTAGATTCTTAATTTTTGGTTCCGTTTTCAAATTGGTCTACATAAAGGTCCAAAGGGTCCAAAATTAAACTTAGTTTGATTTCAACAAAAATTGAATATATGGGGTTCTTTGATATGCTGAATCTAACCATGTATTTAGATTTTTGATTATGGGCCCAGTTTTCAAGTTGGTCCAAATCGGGGTCCAAAATTAAACTTTATTTGATTTCAACAAAAATTGAATATATGGGGTTCTTTGATATGCTGAATCTAACCATGTATTTAGATTTTTGATTATGGGCCCAGTTTTCAAGTTGGTCCAAATCGGGGTCCAAAATTTAACTTTGTTTGATTTCAACAAAAATTGAATATATGGGGTTCTTTCATATGCTGAATATAACCGTGTATTAAGTTTTTGGATTTTGGGCCCCGTTTTTAAATTGGTCCACATTGAGGTCCAAAGGGTCCAAAATTTAACTTTGTTTGATTTCATCAAAAATTGAATTATTGGGGTTCTTTGATATGCCGAATCTAACCGTGTATTTAGATTCTTAATTTTTGGTTCAGTTTTCAAATTGGTCTACATAAAGGTCCAAAGGGTCCAAAATTAAACTTAGTTTGATTTTAACAAAAATTGAATTTTTAGGGTTCTTTGATATGCTGAATCTAACCATGTATTTAGATTTTTGATTATGGGCCCAGTTTTCAAGTTGGTCCAAATCGGGGTCCAAAATTAAACTTTATTTGATTTCAACAAAAATTGAATATATGGGGTTCTTTGATATGCTGAATCTAACCATGTATTTAGATTTTTGATTTTTGGGCCCCGTTATCAACTTTGTCCACATTTAGATCAAAAGGGTCCAAAATTAAACTTTGTTTGATTTCATCAAAAATTGAATTCTTGGGGTTCTTTGATATGCTGAATCTAACCATGTATTTAGATTTTGGATATTGGACCATAATACTGTGGATTCATTTTTATTCGTGGTATACCAATTTTCGTGGGTTTCGTGGGTCACAGCGAACCACGAATTTAAGAATTCAACGAAGAATAATCCCGAGAAATGTGTATGGAGTCGGATGTTTATTTCCGGTCATGTTATGCAGTTCTAGTATAGTGTTGACTAGCGATAAAAATTGTAACATAACACGTGTTTTTATTGAAAGAAGATGCAAGTATTTTGATTAAATCAATAATAAATATATCGAGTATCAGTGATAATTTACTTTTTAAAATTGATTAAAACTGTTCATGGAAAATAACTGCAAGTTGTTATTTACCGTGTCATAGTTTGGTTTACTGGTGATTAAAAATCAATAGGAATAAGTACAGGGATATTGCCCGTAGGTAATATTGTTTATGACAGGAACATTTATTTTCACACCTTTTACTTATATGACTGTTAATTATATCGCGATTAGGGAAATAACTTTCAATCATACAGTTTTGAATGCCATATAAAATTCTGACAAGAATTTATAAATTGTAAAACAAACAAATAATTAGTTGTCTCTGTCCATTATTGTAAGAGAAGTTTTCAATGAACACTTTAACCTAGAATGACCAAGCGAGGATTTTGACAATGTCAAAACTTTTTCAATGAATTCCTTCTTTTTTGTTTGTTTTATTATTGATCAAGCTAAAGAGGTTATATGATCTCCTAAATCAAAAAGAAATCACCGAATTACGAATCTGAATTTTTTTTTTTTGTAATCAGCGATCCACGAATTTACGTATACCACGAAACGTCTTTTTTTCTCTATCCACGAAAATTGATACCCACGAAAATAAATGAATCCACAGTAGGTGAAGTCCAATTTAAAAATTTTTAAGTTCTTAGACCACATTCATTCTGTGTCAGAAACCTATGCTGTGTCAAATATTTAATCACAATCCAAATTCAGAGCTGTATCAAGCTTGAATGTTGTGTCCATACTTGCCCCAACTGTTCAGGGTTCGACCTCTGCGGTCGTATCAAGCTGCGCCCTGCGGAGCATTTTATTATTGGTAGCTTAGGTGCAAAAGTGTTTGGTTTTTTATATATGAAATTGAAATCTTCTCGCCACGATTTCATATCCTGAAATTAACAAATGTTTCAATATTTTTTACAATGAAACTCATTAACAAATTTTCACTAAACCTAACGTTATATTTACAATAGTAATACGTAAAATATAAAATGACATTCAGTAAAATCCACATTTGATTTGCCTTTATTCTTTTGATAAACACTATGTTCTTCCGCGTTATGTAATAAATCT